CATGCTTACAAATGAAGGTTAGGAGGAACTAAGACACCTATCCTGCCAGCAGCCCTTGAGGCAAAAAACTCCCATTAAGCTCAATGAGAATTTTTTTTTTTTACCCAGTGCAGGTTTAAGGCCTTTCTAGGCAACAACTGTGAAGATGTAAAAAGGAACTTCATGAACTGTGTCGAATATCAAACACCTAAAAATTATATGGCCCTGACTTTGACCCCACACTAGTTTTCCCTTGGTTCAACAACAGAGTTGCACTTTCCTCAAACCGGCATGAGTGAAGGATCAGACTGCACACAAGCAAATCACATTCAATAGACTTGAAGGAGTTTCATCTGAACGACAGTGAACGCCTAAAGAGCACGTAGCACTCAAAGGATGCTTGGAATGAGTCTTTCTACCGCGTTTGTTAATGACTGCACTTAAAGTAAGAAACTAAGAAAACACTTCTTGCTTGTGGTTCTTTTAAAAGGAAGAGAAAAAACATAATAAAAACAAAAGGAGGGAAATGGTAAGTTTACAAAAATGTTCACTTCAAAATTAAAAAGAATCATCTTGTTTGATTAGGTTTTACATTGAGTTGACAAACTCAGTATTACCAAGTAAACTGTCTTTCCACATAAAAAAGCTCATTTTTCTCCCTTCTGTCGCTGAGTCCTATTACACTTAGAGTAGTATTGTACACAAAGAATGTGGAAAAAAAGGCCACAGGAGATAATAAGTCTGCAAGAGGACTGCTCTAGCAGGTCAGTAAGGATTCCTATGTACTCTAAAAAAATAAACGGAAAGAGAAACAGAAGGTATGAATATTATCAGACAAGGCAAAAGCAAAAACCATGAGTAGCTTAGCAGATGCTATTTTTCACGACTAGAAGATTGTTTTCTGCTCTCACTGAGATCAGCAGGAGCTTAGACATTCAACAGCATCGAACTTCAGCCCTAACAGCGTAGTGGCTTAAACAGAACACTACCTAATTCTTCCTTGAGCAGTATGCAACAATAAACACTGAAATAAAATAAACTGAACCGTCTGGTCAAAAAATTGTCTCCCTGCACCATATAGCTTCACTCAAAATATTCCTCTGATACAGTATTGTATAATTCCCATCGAGAAGAAAGCAAAGATATACTTCCGAGTGGGTGTTACATTCTTTGACTAAAGTAGACCTGTTGCTCTTATAAAATATGCCTGACTGCTCTAAACGTGGATCCTTTAAATCAATTACCCTTGATTAATATTTCAAATGGTAATTTTAAAAACAGCTTCCAAAAATATACGCAAGTCAAAACTTTTGTAGGCTGAGACACAGACCTTATTACAATGCAAACTAAACGCAGCCTATATTTGACCATAATCGTTCATAACTCATTGAACATCTGTAAAGTACAAATGTTTAATGACACTGCCTATTCTCACTTTTCATAAACAAGGATGCATATCAGAAGAAAGGGACTGGAACAACAAGTCCCCATACTCTTATGACAGCTTGAAGAATTACTAAGAGAATTTTGGCTCAGTTTGAAGACTTAAAACCTGATCAACTTACTCCATCACCCTAGCCCAAAAACGGATTTCCCATAGCAGGATAGTGAATGGCTAAGCTAGAGCACTTCAGTGTATCTGTTTTCTTTCACTCGTTTGCCTTAGAAGAGATAAATGTCATTTGTTTTCAGTCATCTGATTTCTACATTATTACATGGAGAACACACTAATCATTTGAGACCAAAAACTGAAAATTCAAGAAACTCTGTTTTATTGAGGACTATCCATTGCCAAGGATATCTTGTATATTGTAATTAATTTTGTTTTAAAACACAGTTTCTCATCAAGAATTACCACAATGCAAGACATAAATTTTGAGTTCCCAGATATGCTATATCTCTTTTCTGATAGCAAAGATTTAGGCCAAACAACTTTTATTTAGAATCATGAGTGTTTTATTATTATTATTATTAGAAAGAGATCAGATTATATTAATCATTTTACTACCAGTTTAACTAACCTAAAGTAAGATATCTCACCACTTAAATGCCTAAGAGTTGTCTTTGATTAAACATAACATGCATGCAGGTTTTACTGTTATGTTTTATTATGCCTTACAAATGTGTATGCAGGATTTTCATTTCAGCAAGTCTGAAAGCCTGTAGCAGTGGTTGCCACCAAAATACCAGCACAGTGAATTGTCCCTGTAAACAGCTGGATCATTAATTAGTGGAGAAAAGAAAAAAACATAATAATTTACCAATGCCTATCAGATAAAAAGTAAACTTACTGAGAAACAAACTTCCACGTTGTGAGTCTGCTTTATCGCCATCAGCAGCGATTTCAGGGCGCACAACTCAAATCTGAGGGCTCCTACGGTTAAAACAAAAAAAAAAAAAAAAAAAAAAGAAAAAAAAAAGCACACTGACAAAGTCTGCTCGCCTACAGCAGGAGCTCGTACCCCCCGTTTCCTTCCTTCCTTCCTTCCTTCCTTCCTTCCTTCCTTCCTTCCTTCCTTCCTTCCTTCCTTCCTTCCTTCCTTCCTTCCTTCCTTCCTTCCTTCCT